TCGTCTATCTCTCTCTCTCTCTCTCTCTCTCTCTCTCTCTCTCTCTCTCTCTCTCTCTCCCTCCCTCCCTCTCTCTTTCCCTTTACTTCTCTCTTTCTGTCTCTCTCCTTGGTTTTGTTCGATGTGCAATCGGAATTCTCACGGGCAGGTAACCCCAGTCCATCATATCTTCGCGATACATTCGATAAATTCGGCACACTACGCGAATTTCAAACGGAATAACAAACGTCCCTCTTACGATTTCGTAAAAGTTCTCGGAATCACCCCGTGGGAGATCCGTCGGGATTTGAAATATCATGACTGTCCGTAAAGTCCAGCGTTGTCCTTGATTTTGAAGTATCCTCGGAACGCTTGTAAAGCGTTGACCGATGCAGTTCGCGATTCTCAACCGCTTGGATGTGAAACATCTAAAAGAAATCTTTGCTTCAAACAAACTAATGCACGTGAAACAAAACAATTTAAGATTTGTATATACATATCTAATTATTTTTATTTAATTAATCTCGTTATCGTTTCTCATTCTCTCATTCTCTCTCACGTTCTTAATATCTGCTGTGAAAAGGATTTTCTCTTTGTGGCATGATATAATTTAATTGAAAAGACAAACTTGGCGCTGAAATATTAAAGCCTTATCCGTAATATCCGTAATAATCTCTCCAACGATGAGATTCTTCGAAAAAAAAATGCTCAAAATGCCGCGATGGTTCGGATTTCCGTTTCATAAAAGAATCTATAATATGAGACCTCTACCGTCTATGCGACTTCATCGATAATTTCTCTCTCTCTCTCTTTCCCTTTGATGGATAATCGTGTGTGCGGACAGATGTGTGCCATGACTTCGCGATCAAGCTTCGGAAAAGATAAGGGAAGTCGCAATCTCGTCCGCGTGTGATCGCGCGACCATTTCAACGTCCATTTCCCTCCAGCAACGGAAATGTTTTCCGTGATCGAAGGCGCGGGAGTGCATCCATAAAGCGCAGACACGGCATACGTATATGGGATGTGTAGTACAGCGTCTCTACCCCGTAAATTTTACGATCCGATACATTTTACTCATATCGATACATTCGGCCCGCCGCGATAAAACTCGCATTAGACAAAGTGGTTACAGCGAGCTTCCGGGCGTCGCTCGTTCCACCAACCAATTAAGGCTATTCCCGTATCGGGGGTGCTGGCGGGGAGTGGAAGGCAAGAGGGGGGTTAAAAGGCGATTTGTCTTGTTTTTCCGGGACCAACAGCCACTTTTCGCCTCCGAATCGCCTTCTTGTTCCATTTCGCTTTCCCTCCGTCCTCCCCTTTTTTTTCAGCGCCGTCGTCCGTTTTTGCCACGCAATCACTGCAAATTTGTAAGCCGCGCGCCACCGGCAAGCCACCGCTGGCTGGGACATCCGTCTTCATCATCGTATTGTCTTACCGTCTCGCACGTCTCTTGTTTTCGCGCCCGTTCATGGCTCAGCCGCGAGATGGTTATTTAATGGATTGAGAAATGGCGCGAATGTCGCTGACTCGAAGCGATGGCGAGAAATTCGTAAAATTCGCTCGCGCGTGGGGAATAAAATTAGACGAACGCTGCCAGGAATCACATCACAGCCACAGCCGCCGAAGGATGATATAAGACCAAGTTATAACGTGGGAATTACATTTCTCATTTACCTTTCGACGTCGCGTATTTGTTTCGGATTTATCGCCAAAATTGATAAGAGTGGAAAACATACAAAATTTCTGTAAATGAAAATAAGAAATCGCATTTATCTTTTGCATCCTAGAAAAAGATGGGACACATGGTACTTCATATGGTGGTAACACGAAGTGATGCATTCCACTTCGTTAAACGAAGTAGCGCATTTAAAGAGGACGAGAATACGCCGGAAAGTAAACATTACAGGAATAAATCATTCTAAAATTTATTCCGCGTTCCCGACTGCTGCTCCATTTGCTAAGCAACTCTTCGCGCTTCTCTGCGGTACCACGTATTTGCAATGTGCAACGTGATGTAGCGTGATGCTGCACCATCATAGCTGTGTACTTGGCATAAGAGTCCCCGTTTTCTCTCTCTCTCTCTCTCTCTCTCTCTCTCTCTCTCTCTCTCTCTCTCTCCTCTCTCTCTCTCTCTCGTCTCGT